GGACTGCAATCTGGAATACAAGAAAGGCGAAAGTCAAATGTCACTGGAAATTATGAAAGAGGAGGACTTTAGCAAATTTTTGGAACAGGTATTACTTCATTTTTAGTCAGAAATTCAATGTGGTCTTACACACAAATTTTTACCCATTTGCAGTGCCAGCCTATCTCTTGATAGTTTCTCTTCGCCTTTTCCATCTTTTCTATATCATCATTATTATAAACGTTTTCACATCTTAGATTTGCCACATTTTGTGGAATACGTCAGGTGCTGGCATAGATTCGTGATTTTTCGAGTAGTTCTGCTTTTCAGTTTAATCGCGGCACTTCTCTGTTTTCCTTTCCTTGGACCCGAAAGACGCTGGGCCATAACACTGTATGGGTAACAGTAGATTTGCAGTGCTTTTTGGTTGGAGTTGGTTTTTGTAGTCCTTTCCCTTCTCTGTTTTTCCGTGTTCGAGCCCCTTTCCGCCCCTTCCCTGTTTTCCCCCCACATTACTAACCTTCGTGGAATTTAAAAGCCCCTTTTAGTATTGCTTTTAATACTTTCTCTGTCATTTTATTTCAGTTTTTGGGGTATCGACTAAAGCTTGAGCACACCCGTTTCAGAGCTAAAGACTTTATTTTTCTGGTAATTGTGCTATACTGCTTCTGAAGATCATCGGCAAGCTGACCACTAGGCGATATAGCATTTGCAAAAATAACTGGAAATTTGCCAGCTGGGGAATTAGACTATGAACAGCTAGCTGACCCAGGTCTTCCATCCCATAGCATTTCAGTTTTTTCCTGTCGTTTTACAGGAAGAAGAGGCAATTCGCAAAATGTGCAACGAAATAATAGCAGTTAGTCCGGATCTCGTTTTCACGGAGAAAGGCGTCTCTGATTTGGCGCAGCACTTCCTGGTGAAAGCTGGCATAACTGCCATAAGACGCTTGAAAAAGACCGACAATAATAGACTTGCTCGGTAAACGTTTTTTCAGAGAGTTCTTAAATAGCTTTGCGGGACGGGGAGATAAGGTGCTTTTTTTCTGTTGTTTTAAGATGGCTTTTAAAAAAAAAAAAACTTTAGCTTTTTAAGTCAGATGAATGCGAAGATTCACATGTGCCCTTCTTCTCGGCTCCGGTTATTTTGCCGACCAGCAAGCTAATAAAGTAAAAAAGAAAAGAACTCATAAAGGCCTCTTGAAATGATATACTTAGTCTCTGTTTGATGAGCTTCAGTCAACTTCGAGAAACCTTTTAATTAATTCTGTTTATTTGAAGAGTAAGTGGAGCAACGATTGTGAACGATACGCAGCATTTGCGTGAGGAAGACGTTGGTGTGAATGCAGATTTGTTTGAAATTAAGAAAATCGGCGACGAATATTATGCTTATGTTACATCAGAAAAAACTACTGCTGTTACAGTTGTTGTGCGCGGTCCGAGCAAGGTAAGTCAGCACCAAAGTTTCAGTAGGAGAAATAGCAGATGAACGAAACGACTGTTAAGTGATACCGGACGTTTATCGGGAGGCCAAAAGTGAGATAAGAAATCTAGCGCCGTGAACGGAGCCCCTTTTTATAAAGGAGAGTTCTTGGTTTTGCATGAAATCTTTTAGGATATCATAAACGAAGTGGAGCGTAATCTTCAAGATGCATTAAGCGTTGCACGCAACGTGATGATCACCCCACGTCTTGCTCCTGGCGGTGGAGCGCTAGAAATGGCTTTGGCTCAGGTACGGTTTTCCTTTCATTCCTGCTTTTCCTGTATAAAACAGAAGCATATCGTAGCGATGCCGCAACTGTGTGTTCACGTGCCTATTTGTATGTGCATGTGTATGGATGTGTTTTCGTTTTCGGGGAATTTATTCCAGAATAGCAAATAGTAGAACTCTGTACTTCGAAAAAGCTACCTTTGTCGATCTGCATGATCAAAAACGTGAAATCAGCCCTAACTCCTTTTGTTTTTAACTCCATGAGAGCACAGGTCAAATTGAGACAATTGATTATCATTCGACAATGAAATTTTGGGATTCAGTTTTTAGCTGTGTGAAATGGATGAACCGAAACCAGTTTTACAACCCCAAAAAGTTTAAGCTTAGTTCAAACTCGGAAAGATTTTACGGTTCGAAGAAGCATAAACCAAAAACTGGGGATTGTTTGGTATTGTTTGATTGAGGACACAATAATTCGCTTAAAATCAGCTTTCACCGTTTCCTGCTGTGTGACCTACTTTCGATTTCTTGAAAATTTGTTAGCCTTAGTAGCAAAACTATGAACGCATAATTCTAGTGGTTTACTTGTACTGGATGAGCCATTAAACTTATAGTGCAATCTTCACAGTTGTTGTGCTTCTGCGTATGACAGATGGACTCTGGAAGAAATCACAGTGCCATGTTTATTCATTTATTTGGGGAGCAGAAACGCCTACCAACATAAG